TCCTCTAGGAGGTTTATGGTATCTGGTCTTACATTTAGGTCCGTCATCCATTTTGAGTTTACTTTTGCATATGGTGCTAGAGAGTGTTCTGATTTCACCTTTTTACATGTAGCTGTCCAGTTTCCACAGCACCATTTATTGGAGAGACTGTCTTCTCTCTATTGGATTTTCTTGCCTCCTTTGTCATAGATTAATTGCCCGTGTAAGTATAATATAGTACATATATTTACATGAGGCCCTCTCATGTATATATATAGTATGTACATATAGTATATATGTATTATACTTGTGTTGATGAGAAGCTTGGAGTCAGTGATAGTCGTGGGCACGTAAAGCTCCAGCTCTTGGATTTTAAAGATCATTCGCCACTGGAAGAAGTTAGGGCTGCTTTGAGAAGCAGGAATGGCTGGACCAAGGGCCGGGAAGATGTTTGATGAGAAAGTGAGAAAGCGTTGAAAGCGGCGAGGAGCTTTGTTGAAAGAGCATCTGAGCTATTTCGAGGGGATTTCCATTGGCCAGATTTGGGACAATTTGAATGTTAAACTGTGTGTGTAACAAAATTAATAGTAATTAGTTACACATGTTGAATGAAATAAGCATCTGTGAGCCCATACACCTGTAAATGAATGAATGAGGGAAAACAGAAAGCTCTTCACCCCAGTAGAATGCCAAATAGCAAATACAGGATAGACGATGGTGTTCCCAAATGGTGTTCCAGATGCCCTCAGGCACCACAGCAAACTCACGGGGATGATTTAGGACATGGTGCAGTTTCATGGGAAGCAGCACCATCCGTCAGAGCTTGATGGGGTTCCCAATTTCAGTGCTTCCCTGAGATAGTTCCCAGTTTTAATGTTAGATCACTACAGTGTCCTGTCAATGGAGTCATATCTCTGCACAACCTTTGTGTGTGTGTGTGTGGTTTCTCTAATGAAAAGCAAGTACTGCTTGAAAACCAACATGGAACAGAAAATGAGGGTGACTGTGTCCACTTTGATTCTGAGGTTTCCACCACCCAACTCACTGAATCTTCGAGTTCTGACTCCTCTTGATTGAGAAATGTCTGTGATATTCAGTGCATACTCTATATGGGTTCTTTTAATAAAGGCAGTGGTGAAAGGACTTGGCGAAGTTGGAATGCTGTGCAAATACAAGGTCTTAACAATCTCACTTATATACTGTTGTAATTTCCTGTTAGGCAAGACGTAGAACTGAAAGTTTATTTGACTGAGTTGAATTGATCCCTGGGTAAATGTTCTTCATCATGTTGTTTCCGTAAGAGAAGTGCCTTAGCTGACTTTCATCTCCACTTGTTCCCTTTGCCTTTCCTCTCATAATAGTACTCATGAGCAGGAAAACAACTATAAGGCTGAGGTCAAATAATTTTTATTATTATTATTATTCATATTTGTATATAATTTAACATTTTCAGTTTATTGTGATTTGAATGATCCACTAAATGTGAAGGTGTGTGTATTAGTCATTCAATCATGTCCAGCTCTTTGCAACCCCATGGACTGCAGCCCACCAGGCTCCTCTGGCCATGGGATCCTCCAGGCAAGAATACTGCAGTGGGTTGCCATTCCCTTCCCCAGGGGATCTTCCCGAACCAGGGATTGAACCCAGATCTCCTGCATTGCAGGCAGATTCTTTACCATCTGAACCTTTAATATTTGAGAGGTAATATTATGTTAGCATAACTTAGTAGTCATAGTTAAATATTTTGCTTTTATGGTATTTATGCAATTATTGCTAATCAAAAGTAACAGGGTCTACTAAAAGTAACCCATCTATTATTTTCAAGATTAGAATTTGAAGTTTAATATAAACAGCAACAAAATTTGAGGTCATAGATTGCCACAGAAGGTTGCTGTTGAAAGATATCTTAAATACAGTCTATTTCAATGCTCTTATTACGCAAATGACAGAAATGAAAGCTCGGAGACTTGAAAGGAAACCTCTTGATAAAGTGTCCATAACCCCAAGGGTCTCCTTGCTCTCGCTGTGTGTGACGACCCATTTCCTGCCCAAAGAGATGGAGAGCAGCTGGTCACTGATCTCAGCTCTGCATTCCGGTCACACTGAAGGGCCTCTTCTCAGAATTGCATCGTCAGGGAAAAGTCAGTCTGCTGTCATCTTTACAGGGACTCCTCTACTGAGTTGGAGAAGGCAACGGCACCCCACTCTAGTCCTCTCGCCTGGAAAATCCCACGGACGGAGGAGCCTGGTGGGCTGCAGTCCATGGGGTCGCAAAGAGTCAGACACGACTGAGCGACTTCACTTTCACTTTTCACTTTCATGCATTGGAGAAGGAAATGGCAACCCACTCCAGTGTTCTTGCCTGGAGAATCCTGGGGACGGGGGAGCCTGGTGGGCTGCCGTCTTTGGGGTCGCACAGAGTCGGACACGACTGAAGCGACTTAGCAGCAGCAGCAGCCTCTACTAAATGACTATAAACCCATCCTGAAACAGGAGGTCGCCCTGTCTGTTTCACTTGCAGGGACACTGTGGTCAGGTGCTTGATGCTGTTTGAAGACCTCCCCTGGCCAGGTCATTCTGATCGCAGCTTCAGTTCTGTCCACCGTGCTAACAGCACCCACCTTGTCTCTGGTTAGTATGTGTGGCCTCCTCTTCCCTGCAATGCCAGGATCCCATTTGCTCAGTGAATCAGGAAAACTGGTTGAATGGCAGTGGTTCCCAGAGTCACCTGTGGCCCATTCCCCCGAGCTCTGCACACAGGCCGGTGGGGCCTGGGGAATGTACTTGTCATGGCCTCGAGGAAGGGGGCATCCATCGGATATAGCTAAGGGGCGGGTCACTGGGGCTGACAGGAAGAATTCATGCTAGCCTTCCAGTCTTGCCAAGATTAGAATATATACTGGGGAAGTTCTGATTTTCAGCTGCATTAAATGTCAGGACATGGCAACCCACTCCAGTATTCTTACCTAGAGAACCCTGGGGACAAAGGAGCCTGGTGGGCTGCTGTCTATGGGGTCGCACAGAGTCGGACACAATTGAAGCGACTTAGCATGCATGCATGCATGCATTGGAGAAGGAAATGGCAACCCACTCCAGTGTTCTTGCCTGGAGAATCCCAGGGACGGGGGAGCCTGGTGGGCTGCTGTCTATGGGATCGCATAGAGTCGGACATGACTGAAGTGACTTAGCAGCAGCAGCAGCAGCAAATGTCAACCATTTGGCGGGGGCTGCAGATTTCAGCTGTCCCGAGTGCAATCCCACTGAACCCCGTATTTCTGTTTACTGCACCCCTCCTTCATCTGCCTGATCCAACATTATTTTTATTTTACCCAACCCCAGCCCCCCTGAGGTTCATCCTCATTTGTGTGTGAAGTCGCTCAGTCATGTCCGACTCTTTGCGACCCCATGGGCTGTAGCTTACCAGGCTCCTCCGTCCGTGGGATTCCCCAGTCAAGAATACTGGAGTGGGTAGCCATTTCCTTCTCCAGGGGGTCTTCCCGCCCCAGGGATCGAACCCGGGTCTCCTGCATTGCAGGCAGACGCTTTACCCTCTGAGCCACCAAGGAAGCCCGGGCTTGTATAGGTTAGCTGAATCTCATCCATCTCATCTCTTGACAGTTTATCCTTGATACTTCTTTTTCTGGGGTCTGCCTGGACTTGAGTCTGTTAATAGGTCAGTAGCAGAGGTAGGTGGTGGACCACCAGCATCCTTCTACAAGGCAGCCGGGGGTGCTAGGCAGACCCGCCCTTCACCGGAGCCTGTCCATGTCTCTCGTGTCCCTGGATCCTTCCATCCCTGACCATCCCATTTAAAAAGCCGTCCTTTCCTCCAAAACCAATTACCGTCAGCCTTCCCGGCTCTCCCGTCTGCGCCGTGCCCATCACCTTCCATCACACTGTGTAGCTTACTTACTTATTCTCTTCCAGCTAGAGTGTAAGTTCCTTGAGGACTGGGATTTTGTTCTGTCCAGGCTCGAGCCTTTCTCGTGTCGGGAAGAGTGCCTGTGTGTGGCAGTGGATCGTCAGCTCTGGCCGCGCGTGTTTGTGGAATGACTGACTGATCAGCTCACCCATTCTTTTGTGTATTCACCCCGCAGAGGGGTGAGTGCAGGGCCCAGCAGTAACAGCGAGCGGTAGGGCTTTCGAAGTGAACGATGGCTGGGTGGTCTAGTGAGCGAGTGAGAGAGAGAGACGGCCTGAGATGGTTTCCCAAGCAGACGATCACCACATTTTGCAGGGTTCAGAGACCACCCTGGGAGAAGCCTTTAGTCTAAGGGCGCTAGGAAGCCCCAGGAGTCTTTGGAGCCTCAGAGTGAGAGAATTTTTTATTTTTAAAGTTCACCATGTCCGTGGTTTGGAGAGGAGGCTTGGGAAGGTGCGCTCGGTGGCAGGGAAGCTCACCAGAAGACGGACTTTCAGTCCCTTGAAGAAGACCCAGCGTCGGGCGCAGCCTCCGCCGTCTTCCCGGGCCTTTGTCCGCTGGCTCCCGCCCTGGCCCTCAGGGCGGCCAGCGCCACGGGCTTGCTGTGGGGCTCCTGCTGGCACAGGGGCGGCTCCAGTGAGAGCCCCCCGCTCCTGTTCTAGTGGCGGAGTCAAGAGCAGACTCACACGGGGCCAGGGGTCACTCCATGGACTCCAGTGTGTGGAGAGTAATAAGGAAGGTTCTTTTTACCCAGTGCGGTGCATCTTAGGACGTTTCAGTCACTTAACAAATTTCCGAAGTGTCTTTACTGATCCAGCTTGCTTGATCCCACTGTATTTAACACTTCAGAAACAAACTTGTAACATTCTATATTTTAATATAAATATTCATTCATGAAGTCTATAGATATCCTAAGTTGTAGCAATTTTAACTTTCAATCTCTTTTTATGGTCCATCATAATAATTAAGTCATGCTCTATAAAAACATCATGAACAGCTAATATATAATACAAAGCCATGTATATTCATTGAGTATGTGACAAACTAAGGAATTTTAATTTTTTTTATGTTTAATTATGCCTCTTTTTTTTATTCAAAGTATCAAGATACAAATATGCAAGGAGTTGTGTATGAACTGAACAGCTATATAGAACAACGGCTGGATACAGGAGGGGACAACCAGCTGCTCCTCTATGAATTGAGTAGCATCATCAAAATTGGTAAGGAGCGTTTTATGTTCCTCCTAGTAGAAAGATTATACCAAAGTAAGTTAATGATGTTCTCTTCGCTGATGACAGGTAGCATAGGCATCATTCTTTTTTGGTTGACGCCTGTATTATATTGGTTGTTCAGGATTATAGATGCCATTTGTCCATTTTGAAATGCTTTAAAATTAAATATGTCTCAAATTTTAAAAATATTTTCGAATAACTCTGATATTTAAACTTTGACCTGTATATTATTATATAGTACATTGCTATGTGCCTTTGAGAATGTCACATCTTAAAAACAGAAATAGCTAATGAAAAGAAATGAAAATAGTCTACGTATGTAATTCAGTAAAACCATAAGTTATTTAGTTCAGTTTACTGTATGAGAATTAATTATGCTAACAAATCCATTCAAAAGACTCATATTTGAAGCCTCACCTTAGAGAATTCGTACATGTTATATTCTTCCATTGAGATTAGTTTCTTCCTTTTCTGTTACTTTGGCAGCCACAAAAGCTGATGGATTTGCACTGTATTTCCTTGGAGAGTGCAATAACGTAAGTATCTAAATTTAGATTTAGGTGGTCTAGATAAGAGAATGTTATAAGCTTTAAAATTATGTTACAAACAACAAATGTATCATAATTAAGTACTTTAACCAGCATTTTCTATTTCGTTTCTGTACGTGGTGATTACCAGTTGAGTATTTTACCAACATGGTGACGTTTAGTCCTTAAAATCTTAACATTTTTTTTATTGTTTTGGTTTGGTTTGCAGTGTGCTATTTCATGAGTGGCGTTTCTAGACTCACTGTTCTGTACAGAAGTTGTTTCATCACTGTGGCCTGGGGTGTCGGGGGCAGTCTATGCCATTTTCTGCACGCAATCTGCGGTAGAAGCAAATGAGAGCGGGGGTTTTCTGTGAGTTTTGTAGACTCTGTGAAGCTCACTCTGAGAAGCGCTGGGACGGAGTTGCTGCGTCTGGATTCCTGAGCTGTGGCCGGTGACTCGGGCTGCCCTGTGGCTGGAGCACTCAGGGGTGCCCAGTCCACCCGTCGGCAGAACAGGCTGGACGCTGTGTTTCTGGACTGACTCACTCACAGCGCCGTCTGCTCTCTTAGGCATGTTCAAAAGGATTTCAGGACACTCAGTTACTGGCATTTGATTTTTTTCTTGTGGTGTTAACACACATGTAACATTTTAGAAAAATACTCTGAGCCAGCAACACTTAGCTTCATAGGTTAAGTGAATAAAACTCAGTTATAACATTATTTTTGCAGACTTTTACTCTGTATTTCTTGTGTGTTGGGCCTTGTTCTTTGAGATTTGGTAGGCATTTTTGCAATGTGGTACTTGTTTTGTGAGTAAGCAAAATGCATGCTATTTATAGTCTATAAAATGTTAATAGGAATAGAGACACAGTATTCTGATATTTTCAGCAGTGTTCATGAATAGTGGAGTAGTCCAAACCATGAAAGTCATTGCACAAAAGTCCTTATTGGCTGGATGACGCTACTCCTAACTGACCTCTTCGTTTGCACACCCCTTGCTGCTCTTGTGTGATGATGATCTGTGTTACAAGATTAAAAGCTCTTTAGGATGAGGACCGCTCCTTATCCATTTCCATATTCACCTGTATTCTCTCTTGTTTTCTTTCACATAAGCAGTCGGCAAGAGGGTTTATTAAATAGAATTATTCAGATATTACTCCTACTTGTAAATGCTTTCTATTTTACATACTGGTAGTATTTTAAAAATGATGAAGCTACTGAAATAACGAATAGATTTCTGTCCTAGTCCTTCTAAAAATTTTTTCCAAAATTTGAAATTTTTGTTTAAAAACCAAGACTTCCTTTTAAAAAATTAGTGTATAATTTACAATATATCTTTTTAACACTTTTCAATTGAAGGATAATTGCTTTAGAGAATTTTGTGGGTTTCTGTCATATCGACAAGAATCAGCCATAGGTGCACCTCCCAGGCCTCCCTCGCATCTCCCTCCCTCCTCACCCTGCAGCCCTTTGCAGAGCCCCTGTTTGAGTTTCCTGGGTCCCACAGCAGATCCCCACTGGCTGGCTGTTTTACACACGGACTTGTGAATTTCTGTTTCTCTCTGCACACGTCCCCCCTTCTCCCTCCTCTCCTCCCCCCGTGTCCATAGGTCTGCCCTCTATGTCTGTTTCTCCATTGCTGCCCTGAGAATAAATCCACCAGTGCCATCTGTCCAGATCCCACATATATGTGTCAGTGTACAATATTCCTTTCTCTTTCTGACTTCCTTCACTCTGTATAATGGGCCCTGGTTTCGTCCACCTCATTAGAACAGATTCAAATGTGTTCCTTTTTACGGCTGAGTAGTATTCCATTGTGTATATGTACCCCAGTTTCTTTATCCATCCATCTGTCGATGGACATCTAGGTTGTAAATGTAGATGTGAATGTAGCTGTAGCTGTAAATGTAGATGTAAAAAATTACAGTAATTTTCATGATTTTTGGTATGCATATTATCGTGTAACTAACCACAGCAGTCCACGTCTTATCACTCCTTCCCTGACGTCTCCACACAATCCGCAGGGATGGTCCACAGCAGCTGTGTTTGCATCGTGACCCTTGACCTTCAGTCACAGCTGTTTGTGACCCAGGCTGGGGCCAGTAGATTCGCTGCCGACCCCTGGGTTGTGGACTCAGCGTTCTGGCTGTTCTGCCTGGAAAGAAATGACACGAGCCCTCGGCCGAGGCGCGGCTGCCCCAGGGGCTGGCCCTCTTCTGCTCGAGCCCTCGGCCGAGGCGCGGCTGCCACGGGGGCTGGCCCTCTTCTGCTCGGTGTGGAGGACATCGGGAAGAAGGGGAGAGCTGGTCTGCGGAGGTGGGAAGGGCAGACGACTGGGAGCCTGGTCCTCTGTGCAGGAGCCTCTAACGGAGCCTGGCTCGGAGCCTGGCTCGGAGCCGGGGTTTAGGTTCCCAGGCCGCCTGCTCTTAATCACTTGGCTATACTTCTCTACCCTGTTGTTGCAGACTTCTGCCTGATTGTGATTTAGAAAAAGCTTCTGTAGCTCGAATATCCCAAATGTAATTCTGTTGTGGTTTAGTTGCTCAGCTGTGTCCGACTCTTTGCAACCCCGTGGACTATAGCCCACCAGGCTCCTCCGTCCACGGGATTCTCCAGGCAAAAGTGCTGGAGTGGGTTGCCATTTCTTTCTCCAGGGCATCTTCCCAACCCAGGGATGGACCCCGGGTCTCCTGTGCTGGGAGCGATCTGCATTGCTGACTGAGCCACCAGGGAAACCCCTAAAATGTAATTCTGCATGTATTTCATCCTTTCACTTTTACTTAACATTCACTTTGTAACTTAATTGAGGGATTGGCAATGTCTTCTCCGGCGTTAGTTGGTGCTTCATTCTAAACCCCTAAGGTCAATTGATTTACTCTACCTGGTTCTCTCCAGGCTGATGGAGTCTTTACTCCTTTCTCCCCCACATCTCAGGGACCAGGTGTATCCTGTTTGTTTACATAGCTCTCGGAGGAGCAGGGTACAGAGCAAAACGGCAGCCTTTCCTCACCTTCCGAAGTCAGCTTCCACTCTGCCATGCATTCTTAATGTCAGATCCTTCTTCATAGAATTGAGCTGAACCTGTAATTGGGTGTTTATCTGTGCCTTGTTTGATTATTTGCTTATCCAGTTTTCTCTCCAGCATATAAGCGTCACAAAGGCAGAGACCTTTCTCCCTGGGAGGATACTTTTAGGGGATAATGACTGTGTTCTTCTCCCATAAGTCATATTATTCCTTTGGCCCCTTTCAATGGATATTCTTGAGGCTGTTCCCTTCCCGTTCTATTTCTAGAGATCAGATGTGTACTTGTTTTTGCCATTCACCGAAGGTACCACCCCTTGAAGTCTATTTTGATTAACTCGTATGGCTGAGATTTTCTTCCCGACCACTGAGTGGTGTGGATTCAAGCCTCACATCCACACGATGCACAGTTATTGCTTCTCAGATGAGATTTTTATTTTCTCTGCAGCAATAAATTCAGGGTATTCTGGTTCCCTTCACCCCCTTGCAGCTATGTGTCTGCACTCTTCAGACTGAGATGAGCCCATAGCCCTGGGCTGGTCCTGACCCCGTGGGGGTCTCCTATTAGACTTCCCAGCGGTGGGGTCTCAGGCTTTACCTCTGGTCCCCTGTTAGCCATGTGACTCTGCTGAGTTTGGTACAGTTGACCCTCGAACAAATCCACATGTCACTTTATTGCCGGCCTTCAGAATCCACAAGTCCACATCTGCACATTCAGTCGGTCTTGGGTGTACAGTGCTACTGTGGCATTTATTGAACGAGATCTGCATGTAAGTGGATCCACACAGATCAAACCCATGTTCTTCAAGGGTCAACTCTATATATAGGCTTTAGTTGATGCTCTCAAGAAAAAAAAGAAAATTCGAATTTGCTCACCTCCCAGAGTCCCTTTGTCTACTCCCTTTTAGATTTCTTTGGATCCTTCCAATCTTCTCAGCCCAGCAATGCCTTATAAAATATTTGTGAAATGTTCTTTATCCAGCCTTTAAACAATTTTACAATGTTTTTTTCAGGAGTGTCAAATTATCTAATCTGCCATATTGCTTGCAACAGATGTTGACATACTTCTAAAATGTAAATAACTGTATGAAATAAAGTAAAACATTTTGCACAGATGAGGAGATACATGTATATTTTCTTGTATTTCTTCCTTTGTACATGAAAGACAACATATTATAGATATTTATCAATGTTTTTAAAACTTGTCTCTGGATTTTGAATCATAGTTAGAAAGTATTTTTTAGTGACTCACTTTCAAAACAAAATGTATATTCTTTAGTGACAAAATTATAATAATGCAACCCAAATAGACTGCAATAAAAATTTTAGTCTTGATATCAATAAATATTAGTACAAGGATTAAGACAGACATGGCATGGACTAAATCATTCTTATAAGAGTATTGATTTCTTTTTTCACCAATGAGAATCAGTAGAAATAATTTAATTTCTGAAATTGATACATTGAAAAATATAGCTTAAATAATATTTAAATACATCAAAAGTTATACTGGTAGAATTTAAAACCAACATTCATATTACCAGAGAGAAAAAAAAATTAAAACACAGAAAGTGTAGGAGATGGTAGAAAACAACTTAAATGGTATGAAAACACTAAAAATAAAACATTAAATGTGATTATTGAACTCATTTCGAAGCTAATTTAAGAGACAGTAAAACAGTAGAGTGGAAAATAGCAAATTATGAGAGCATACTTACAAATGTGAAAATGTAGGTAAAATGGACAGTTTTTGAGGAAAATATAAATTGTTCCATTTGATCCAAATGATGATAGAAAAGCAATAGCCCAGTAAGCGGAAGGAATTAAACGCAGTGTTGGAATGATGCTGGGGTTTTTTAAAGCCAGTCGGACACTGGCGGTGGTTTTGAGCACCAGCATTGCTCAGGCCATCATTCGCTCTGGGACATGGTGGGTGATGAACCAGAGCTCACGCTCAGCTGGAGACAGCCCTCCAGAAGAGGGAA